GACGCCTGCTGGGGGCTGACGATCCGGCGTATTTCTCCCGCTCTGCCGTGGCTCTTGGACTCGCCGTTCGGGCAGCTGCGGTGCACAGTGGGCCGGAGGAAACGCTGCTGAGTCATGACGGACCCGAGCTGCTGCGAACACAGCGATAAAACGATGCCGTTTGGATTCTGTGCCATAATGATTATTCAGCACAGTGAATTATCAGTCAGGGTTATGAACTGTTAACCCACTTCATTCATTCTCCTCTGATGATTATTTTTGGCTGTTTATATATTCAAACCGCTGCTGAACCGCTGACGCTGATGTGTTTTGGATTTCATCACTTTCAGAGGTAAAAACCATCAAATTTACAAACAACCTGAGCTTTGCATGCCGAGGAAAATGTTTCTTCAACTCAAAATCCAGAGCAAAGCCTGAATAACACTATGTGTTACAAACAGACATGCAAAGAATAACAGATTAAATCAACTTGTTGCTCAAAACAACATTAATTATCATGGATTTTAATCAACTATTAATTATTATAAGCGTAAAAATAAAACGTTTTCACTGGTTCAGGCTGTTCATAAATGATAATTTGCTGGGGGTTTTAATCATATATAATAATAAACTAAAAGTGTTCTTTTTAATATTTTAATACACTGACAAATAAATTAATCTTTAAAATAAAAACTGAAAATAAGCAGTGAAAATAAGTGCTGTTGCAGTCCTGGTGAGGAATGAGAAGCTACAAAACAATCATAGAAAATGTTCTTTTTCCTTTAATTCTCTATTAAGACTGAGGAAGAAAGGCTGACCACCTATTAAAGTTGAAAGTTAAAGAGACAGGGCAGCTGACATGATTAATTTCTTAAGATTATGAGCACTGATTTAAAATAAAGAAAGAAGAGCAGTGGATTCATTTGGCTGGAGAGTACCTGCACAGGTATGTCCTGCTCTTTAGTCCTTTGACAAAAATGTGTCAGTGAATCCAACTGAAATAAAAAAGGATGATGGCAACTGTCAGTTAATAATACTCACAATAAATGAGAAATGGTTTATTTTGCATGGACTGGTGGTCAGGCCTTACCTTCCTGTGTTGCCTTTGATGATTTCTCTGCTGCTGGGAGCAGAAGTCGTTTGCTCCCCCTCCCTCTCTGTGGCCCTGCAGCAGCTGCTGGATCTGGCTCACCACCCCGAGGTCCTGCAATAGTTTTTGCCTCTGGTACAGCACGCCGAGCTGCTCGTGGTCGCCTATTAATACCACTTTTTTCTCCTCCTCCCTCTCTTCTACCACCTTCTCCTCCTCCTCCTCCTTATCCAGATGCTCCTGCTCCTCTTCTTGGACCTCTGCAGACTCCGGAGCTGCTGACAGGCCGGACACAGGAGGCTGGAGGGGAAAGAACATTTAAATCAAATAGTTTTTATTGCTAAGATGTATATGCAGGTTTTTAAAATATATGAGAATATCATTGGTTTGCTGTACTGAAAATAAAATCTGTTTATTTAAAACTGAATAAAATGATCAAGAATATTATTTAGATAATCTAAAGAATACTCTGACAGAAAGACCAGCCAGAGTCAAAGCCATTCATCACGGACTGAAGCTGTGTCTCCCTCTTGTGGTTACATTTGGGTACTGCATCTTCAAACACAGCCTCACCAATGCTGGGTCGCAGTTAGAAATGGGGGTCGGGGCTGATGGGGCCCTTCGTGGTTTGACTCCTTCCCCTGCAGTCTCCCCCTGCGAGTCTCTCCTCCGGCCTCTCCTTTGGTAGTGCTCATTCTGCTCCTGCTTCAGACGCAGCTCCTGCAGCTGTTGCCTAAAAGAATAAAAGCACACATTTCAGAACCACTTTGAGAATAATTTAAAGTATTTAAACAAATTAAATCACTTTTTTAGCTTTATTATGGTACTCTTGTTTTAGATGTTTTTTTGTTTTTTTTAAAAACCCCACAGAGGACAAATATTGAGTGTAGAAAAAGAAACTCGGATCCTTCTGCAAGACCATTAATCTTAATTTGAATAAATAAATAAAAACTTAAACTCCAGTGATCACTTCTGTAAAATAACCAGTTAAATCTGATAAATCTCATCCACATTTACTTATAATTGTATTATTATTAGTTTGTTTTCTTTTTCTTTTTTTAATGCAGAGAACAACTTATTTTGGTTTCCCGTCTTGTATTTTATTTTGAAACAGATTTTTGCCTGTTCACATTTTCCTGCTGTCTCCATGATGCACTCTGTTGTCTCTACATTTTAGTTTCCTCATCTTCCATTTTTATTTTGTTAAAAAATAAATAAATAAAAAGACAGAATGTTTGTTTTCAACTTTTAAATCAGTTTTTAGGTGGAATCAGCCATTAATGTTTTGCTTTATTTATATTTATATATATCGTGCATTTGGTTCCTTTTTATCATGAAATGCAGGAAACAGGAACTTAATTAACACAATCACAAGGGAGGAATAAAAATACAAAGCACAGATGACAAATGATGACTACCAAAATAAAACACCAAATAACAAAAGAACCAAACCACACACAGAGGTGAAAAACTCACATGGAGACACGGCTGGAATAGTAACCCAAAATACAAAGAAAGCTGAAGGTGTATCTATCGTAGAGAGATAAATATGGGACTGAGCGTATTAACAAAAACAGAAACCAGAAAACTGCACTAAAAAGACCATGGCATTGCTGTACAAAAACAACTAAACTGTCATGAAGACAAGTGAAGACTGTTTTAGGAAATATCTGAGAAGTCTGCATGAAAGTGAGCACACAGCAGAGCAAATTTAAGCGTGTAGGTGGAAACAGGTGGTCTTCGATGTGACGATCACAGCAGAGAGCAGGATCGAACACGACGACAAACACTTGCCCTTTGAGAAATCATAGTTGTCCAGAATCTCTACTATTTGATCAAACTGCTATCTAAACTGTTGGCTAATCATAGTTAGTAGCAGGAAACGATGTGACACCCAGTTTTTCATGGCAGACACAGGGGCCTTTTAATTTAATAACGTGAGAATTACAGGCACATGCAGCGGAGTGTCATCAGCGTCTTAAAGGGAAATTTATTCCATGACTGCACATAATTTGGTGGCAGGATTACGCACTATTAAATTCTGTTTTATTAGGACAGGTTTAAATCCTTCAATTTGTTCAATTATTCCATAATGTTTGCACATATTAAATCACCCCGAGGCATGTCTGCATGTACAGCTGAGTGTGATCACACTACCGGCAAAGAAGCGACTGGCTACGTATCATTTCCAGGAGCAGCAAATCAAAACTGAGATGGCCTCAACTTTTTTCTGCATCAGCCTTTCATGGATTATCTGTACGGGAGGTAAGAGACAGACCCAAATGCTCCTAAGACAGAGATGTGACCTAAGGAAGGAAGTGCTGAGGACAAAAAGACAGAATACACACTAATGTAGAGCAGCGGCGAGGGATTCACAACGGAGTCGCCAGGGGGAACACATGGGATAAGGAGGACATGGCAAAGAACTGAGTAAAACTGAGGACTTACAGACAAACACAGATGAGGTAAAGAGAGAGGAAACATCTGGGGTAAAAAAGACACAGGTGAACAGAATCTAACTAATGCAACAAAGGGAAACAAAACTTCACACAATGCACGTAAGACAAGGGACTAGAAAAATAAAAGAGGAAACCTAAAACTGAGACAAACACACAAAAAGATAAACACAAAGACACAACTGACTTCACAAAGCAGACACAAAAGGAGAAAAAAAAACACAGAGAAGAGACTTGGGGAACAAGAAGGGAACTTATACAACTAAACTAATCTATAAGTAAACAAAAAACACAAGTAATACAATAGGGAACCAAAATGAATAGAAACTAGGACCCAATTGCATTAATGGTCTCAGAAAAAACTTTGAGCACTTTGTCATTACTTTCTCTAGCTGTCTTTCAATTTTGGTGCCATGACAACCTGTATGTAATAGATTGACTGATTTGTGTCTATATACAGAACACGAATATTTTCCACTTTTAAAAAGGCAAAATTAATCCACATTTGGAAGAACAGATTTGCATTATTGATTCATATATTATTATTGTTATTATTGTTATTATTATTATTATTATTATTATCATCATCATCATCATCATCATCATCATCATCATCATCAATAAAAATGATTGGATTTAGAACAAGGTCATGATTTGAGGATCACAACCACCTGAACTGGCTTCCAAAGATCCTGGAATCTGGAATATTTTAAGACCTATGTGAAACATCTACTAAGAAAACTGAAAACAATAATCGCATTTTTCTTTTACTAGTCTTCGTACTGTACTGTATTTTTGTACTGTAGTACAGTTTAGTCTGTGCTTAATTATTAGTGATACTACTTATGTGCATGTTTTTTCATCCACCTATCACAGTCTGCTGTTTTTATTTTATTTTTTTAAATCACTGATGTCTTGTTCTTTAGTTCTACTTGCATTTAAATACACGACTTTCTAACAATAGCTGTATCTCATTACTCACACTGAACTCTGAAAACTTGGGTTTAAATACTTTGATGCAAGCTACAAAAATATATGAAGCTACATTCTTAAAAGGTTATGTTTATGTAAATGCAGTCACATTTTTCTTAAAAAGGTCACCAGAGAACCACTTAGGGGCACATTTTAGTCTCATGTTATAAGATTTTCATTTGATTATTTAAAAATTCTTTAAATGAACTGCAATCATAGTACCGTATTTTTCGGACCATAAGGCGCACGGAATCTGTGCACTGTCGACAAACGGGTCCGTTTTCATACATAAGGCAAGCCGGATTATAAAGCGCATTAAACAAAACAAAACAGTCAGATAAGTCAAACTTTACTCAACTCATTCCTCTTGCTTCTTCCACTTCCATACCATTGATTCATTAATGTTGAATTCTCTGGTAGCTGCTCTATAAACACTGGAACAACAGTATATGTTGTTCCAGTGTTTTTCTAATTTTTGCTATGTAATTTTGCACTGTCCACTTTCTGCTGTAACAAAACAAATTTTCCCATGTGTGGGACTAATAAAGGTTATCTTATTTTACATTAATGACTAACCTCATATTGTGGCTGGATTATCTCAGTTGTTCTCCCCTACTGAAATTTGGTATACAGCAATTTTCCAAGTGATTGCATTTGTCAAAACAAACAAACACCGGGAACTTATAGCAAGTGGAAAAAAGTTAGCATTCATTCTCCAGGTTCACTGTGTTATGCTTTGATATGCTAACATAGCTGTGTCGCTAGCGATCACTAGCACAGCATTATATACCAGCTAGTCCAACTTCAGTAACCCTACAAACGTCACTGCTGTTTAGTTTTCTGTTTTCATTTATGTTGGAAGTGATAGCAGAGCTGTACGTTTTATTTTTGCCCAGAAATCTCTCAGTCAGAACATGCTTGGTAACATGTTTAGGTAACTAGCGAGCTAACTTTCTGCTACCTTCCTGCTAACTTCTAACTCCGTTAAATTTAATAAATTCTGTTTTCATGGATGCCTGGATGTTAAACTTAATTGTTACACCTGGTAAAGCAGCGACACTGATCATTTTTATTAAAGATAAAATAATTTACACAGTGTTCGTTTGGGGCCTGACACGACTGAGTTTTGGACCCAGATTACTATGAGTCGCAAGGCTCCTGACTACAGTACCCATAACGCTCAGACAATCCATCAGGCTTCATAGCTTAGCAAAGTCCTAAAACATTTTTTGACAGATTTTTGAGCGCCGTGTACCACATAAAATCGTTCCGAGGTCAGTAAACACAGCCAGAATTCATAGATAAGGCCACCAGATTATAAGGTGCACTGACGATTTTTGAGAAAATTCAAGGATTTTAAGTGTGCCTTATAGTGCGGAAAATAGATAAATGAATTGCTATGCATTTTTTTAGGCAACATTCCAAATAAAATATTTAAAATGTCGTCTATTCCTTTTCCTTCATTGGAAAAAAAAAAAAAAAAAAATCACAATTTATCTTTAATTTAGATTTTAGTAAGTAAGCACACTGCATATTTGAATATTTGTCCAGTGTTTTATTACCAATCAGCAAACACATTTGCAAAAATATTTAATATTTGTATTTAATGTAAGTGTTTTTATTTATCAGTCAAGCAATTTGTAAGATTACTTCTTGAAATGTAAATTAAAAAAAAAAAAAAAAGATTAATTCACAGAGCTCATAAAAATCTACCAGCAAAGAATTCAAAATCACAAAATATTAAACTTATTATGATTTGGATCTTCACATTAAAAAAAACTTGATCCAGATTCTTTTTGCATTTTTTTAATGTAAATTATTAATAAAAATGTATCAGTTGTAAGGAGGAAATATCTTGCTATAATGATTGTAGCCTATATGCATCTATGCCTGTATGTAACCTAATACCTCGTTACTGAGCGAGCCAGTCTGAACAAAAACTTTGCACGGACATCGTCACACATACAGTGATTAAAAAGATTTATGATAAATCCCAATTATTTCTATTTTCCTATTTATTATGTTCATTTTATCATCCATCTTGCTAATCAGCTAAGTTTTTCCACCACTTGTCACAAGATGAGAAATTATTACCTCGCACAGGTTAAGCTAGAAATTTAAGCTTTTTGCGATCTTTGTGTTCTTTTTATGATAAATATTATTTTATAAAGTCCTCTCACTGTACTATCCCTTTAAATAACAGCAGAGATGTTAATTTAGTTCTCCTGCATAAATGTTAGAAGTGCTGTATGAATAAAAATTATTATTATTACCCAAGTGTCTGTATTTATATGGAAACTAGGCAGAATAATTCAGTTCTCCCTGCACTGGAGTGTTCCCTCTGCTTTCTTTTTTATTTTACTTATTTCTTTGTGTCTGTGTGGATGACTTCAGAAACGGTCTGTGCGTAACTCGCAGCACCTGCTCTTTGCTGAACTGTACTGAGTGTACTGACAGCACGCTGGAGGTACCTGGCACACTCCTCTCTGGCCTTTGATGCCGCCGTCTCGTGGAAGAGCGAGCTGCTGTGTTTAAAGTACTTGTCGTATTTCTCCCCTCCCTCTCTGGGATAAATCCTCTTGAAGCCTCCCAGGTGTTTGGCCTCGTACCTCTCCATCTGCTTCACCGTGGCTGCCTGGCACTGACGCAGCTCCTCTGACCTGCCGATGAAATACACACACGGAAACACTAACCTTCACTACAGATGTGTGGTGTGTGTGACCTTGGGAAAACTTCACACCATATCTGTTCACCGTACCTGGCCTCTCTGGAGCGGTGCTGCTGCAGCCTTTCCTTCACCTTGCGTCTCTCCTCTTTAGTAATCTTACGACGATCGCAGGCGCTCAGGTTGATGAGAACCAGAGTGTCGTACAGCAAAGCATCCTTCACCTCGCGGTCCAGCTGGGAGTCAGTGGTAAAACTTGGGGAGTGATTCACCTGGACATAAATATATTCACACACACACACACACACACACACACACACACACACACACACACACACACACCTAAATTCAAGCTAACTTAATGCATACACTAATTCATGTTTACCCAACTTTTTTGTAATTCAAGATCTAAAAGATCTATAAAGGGCACTATGCAAATGTTGACCTCACACCCAGTTGTTGTTTCA